TTAGTGGTTTAGTTTTGCCGGCACAAAAACCAGATTTGAGTCAGCATCGTTCCCTCATAAATTCAGGCCCTACATGAGAGTCATGTGGTGTTATTCGGAGTTGCTGGATTACAGCCCAGTTTGCACAGTAAACCACAGTTAAAACAAACTATGCTTTATTGTGAATCCACAGTGTCAACGTAAGAATACAGTGTTGCAAAAATCAATGTTTGAGGCACCCATGTGCATCAATAGATTTTGTTTTATTAATTTATAAAGCGCTCTGAGGTTTTTTGCAATCAAGCGGTGAATAATTTTATGAAATAGGCCCGCACCCTGTTTTCACAGTGGCCAACAAGATGCCCATGAGAAACCTTCAAGCAGGTCCTGGGTGCAGCAGCACTTTCCTCACTTGTGATTTTGCACAACTTGCATACCGACTCCAACAGTGGAGATAGAACATAACTATTGTGTCTAGAAGCAATAATCATGTCGAGAAGCAAGTAGCCTTATCCTCCCTTTCAAAAAATTATCAAAGTTGCTAGCCATCACTATCTCTTGTAAGAGCGAATACCACAGATTAACTGTCTTCTGCAGTGGAAATAACTAAATTAATGGTTCTTATTACCCTGAGTAGTGCCGAGTTAAAAACAAAAGAGGAATGCAAATGGGTAAAATTGATGGCAATTGCAGCCAGACAGGTTATAGCGAGTGACTGGGAAAATGCAGAAGAGCTAGGGGTGAACCAATGGAGGAAAAAACTGAATAATATTATAATTTAGGAATACCTAACTGTGAAGATACACAGAATGAAAGGGTTTAAGGTCAGTGAGAAAGAGGAGGATTGCTTTGAGAAGAGATTGAACTATTTGAGTAGGTTTGAACAATTTGGGGCAATTAAAGTGTTAAAAGTTAAATAAACCTTGTGGATGGAGGAGTGTTAAGGTATATAGAAGTGTACATATGGTTGATTTGAATCATAGAATCATAGAATCATAGAATCATAGAGTTGGAATAGACCACAAGGGAATATGTTATTATTGAATATTATTGAATATGTGTATTATTGAATATTGTATACCCAATGTATCAGCCGCCTGGAGGGTTACACTGCTTGTGTTTTGGTGGTTGGTAAAAAATAAAATATTTTTTTTTAAAAAAAACCTGTCTTCTGCATGAAGAAGTCCTTTTTTGTTACAATATTATCTACATTTCCACAAAATACACAATTTTATCCACTTCTATCATGTCACATAAGGGACGCGGGTGGCGCTGTGGGTAAAAGCCTCAGCGCCTAGGACTTGCCGATCGAAAGGTCGCGGTTCGAATCCCCGCGGCGGGGTGCGCTCCCGTTGCTTGGTCCCAGCGCCTGCCAACCTAGCAGTTCGAAAGCACCCCCGGGTGCAAGTAGATAAATAGGGACCGCTTTCTAGCGGGAAGGTAAACGGCGTTTCCGTGTGCGGCTCTGGCTCGCCAGATGCAGCTTTGTCACGCTGGCCACGTGACCCGGAAGTGTCTCCGGACAGTGCTGGCCCCCGGCCTCTTGAGTGAGATGGGCGCACAACCCCAGAGTCTGTCAAGACTGGCCCGTACGGGCAGGGGTACCTTTACCTTTATCATGTCACACCTTATTTGCCTTTTCTCTAAACTAAAAAAAACAAGGAATGCTGTAACCTTTCCTCATAACAGAGTCGCTCCAACCTCTTGATGATTTCGGTTTGATGTTTTCTGAACCCTTCCCAGCTCTATAGTGTCCTTTTCTGAGGGTGAGGTGGGCAGAACTGTGCACAGTATTCCAAGCGTGCACCATCAATTTGTATGATGACATAGCGATATTGGCAGTTTTGTGTTTCGTAATTATCTCTCCCGTGGAATTTGCATTTTTCATAGCTGCTGCACACTAGACCGACACCTTCATAAAACTATTCATTACAACCCCAAGGTCTCATTCCCGGTCGGTCACCAACAGTTCAGACCCGCATAAGTGTATATGTGAGATTTATTTTTTAAAAAATTGCCCCAGTGTGAATCATTTTACACTTGGTTGCACTGAATGGCATTCGCCATTTTACTGCCCATTCACCCAATCTGGAGAGATATTTTTTGACGCTCCTTGGAATTCCTAGTTGCTTCAACTACCCTGAACAATTTTTAAATCAGCAAACCTGGCTACCTCACTGCTCACCCCTAGCCATAGAGCATCTACACAGAAGCAGGAAAACGTGGGTCCCAATTCTAATCTTTGGGGGACTCCCGTTTTCTACATCCCTCTGTGTACACTGCTGAAAACGTCTTGCTCTACTCCTCCCTAGCTCCTGATGCCGCCATGTTGCTGGGAAACAAGTCAATTTTGTTGTGATGACCAAAACCACAAACAGTAACCATGGTTTGTTCTTGGCTTACAGCTCATGGATTGTTTGGAGGACGCAAACCATGAGCCAAGGTTCAGGTATCACAGTAAACTGGACTCTGGCTTATTTCCCAGTCAGAATGGGAGGGTTGGGGAGACGATTAGCACACTGCACGCTCACATTAAACCCTAGTTTGCTTTTAACTATGGTTTAACATTATGTGTGAAGTAGGTTGTGGGTAAGTGGAACTGGAAAGCTCCTGGTTTCGTTTCGTTTCATTGAGAATAGCATCTGTTCATTTCCCCTCCTATTTCAGGTTCTCCAAATGTTAGAAACCTGTTCCCTTTTTAAAATGAAAGCTGGGAAATCTGGAATTTATGGTTCATTCTTCAGACAGGGGTGGCACCCTGTAGACACCCACCCATGTGCTTAACCCTAAGAATGCACCTGGAATGCACCACTAATGGGGCAAAAGAGAAGGAAAACTCCAGGTGACTGAAAATAGAGGCCCGACACATTTTGGAATTATCCATCTTTAGGAGTATGTTTTAAGCAGAAACTCCAACCAAGTGCACGAACCCATTAATTTATTAATTTTCCATTTCAAGGACCTCCTGACTGTGTCACCCACCAGGAAGAAAAGTCAAGTGGAAGGGGGGAAGGCCTGGAAGGAAGGGTTAAGACACTGTTGGCCAAACTTGGCCCTCCAGCTGTTTTGGGACTACAATTCCCATCATCCCTGACCACTGGTCCTGTTAGCTAGGGATGATGGGAGTTGTAGTCCAAAAACAGCTGGAGGGTCAAGTTTGGCCAACACTGGGTTAAGGACTCCATGCCACTGCCTGTCCTTTATAATGATTTTCCCTCTCCACTTCTTTATTGCTGTTAACCAGAAGACATATTTGCTGTCAGCACATAGAGTTCCACACCACCCTTAATCAATATGGGGACACCCGATTCTGGCAAGGGTTGACCTTGTGCCCCAAAGTTAGGCCGCATGCTCATGCCACCCATGCCAGACCTCATACCAAAAGCCTGGAGTTGAGTTGAGTCAGCCATTTCTGCCCCAGATTGCTCATCAGCAAGCACAGATGCTACCGCCTGATCAGTTTTCTACTTCCTCTAATCCTTATATAAAACACTGTCAGCTCTTCTCTCTTGAGCAAACGGCTCTACTTCTCTGATGTTACAACGCCCTACCCTTCAGAAACACACTACTGGCCTCTCTCTGTCACTTACTTCTTCCTGCCTGCAAACCTCCTTGGGTCGTTTTCTTGGCCGTCTTCCTATGTCGTGAAGGCTGAAATTTCAATTCAGTGGAGCAGGGTCAAGATATTAACTGATATGCATGAAATTTCAGATATAGCTATATACAGTGGCACCTCGGGTTAAGTACTTAATTCGTTCTGGAGGTCCGTTCTTAACCTGAAACTGTTCTTAACCTGAAGCACCACTTTAGCTAATGGGGCCTCCTGCTGCTGCTGCACCGCAAGAGCATGATTTCTGTTCTCATCCTGAGGCAAAGTTCTTAACCCGAGGCAATATTTCTGGGTTAGCGGAGTCTGCAACCTGAAGCGTCTGTAACCTGAAGCGTATGTAACCCGAGGTACCACTGTAATCCCTAGTGTAGTAAGTTAAGTACTTTGGAGCAGGCATTTTCAAAAAAAAGTTTTTTTATCAACTGTCCTATTAGGCAATAATCTCTCCCCCCCCCCAGTGTGTCTCCCAACAAAAGTAAGACAATAAAGAAATCTTGATTTCAGTGCAATCCTATGGCATTTACACTGTGCACACACCATTCATTTAAAGCTCAATCCCGCCCCCAATAAACCTGAGACCTGTATTTGTTAAGGGTGCTCAGGACCGCAGTCCCGAGAAGGGTAAAATTCCCAAGGTTCTTTGGAGGGGATACTTTAAATGTATATTTGTGCGAACACCCTTATTTCCCAGAAAGTGGGCATAGGCATGCAGCTTTAGCAAAAGTCGCATTCACTATGTCTCCTGTGTGTCCCATTGAAAAAAGCTCATACCTTCTATATGGATCTGCATTCTGCATAAATGCAAAAAAAGTAGGCATCGTTTGCCATCACAGACACTCCATGTCACTGAGCTACCGCTCTTAAAATAGACTCAGCTGTCACTCCCCATCTTTTTTCAGAAGCCCATCTGTAGAAATGCAAGCTGAGAGCATGGGAGGAGGCTCTGGCAAGGCCAAAGACTAGCAGAAGAAGAGTGGCGAGGTCAGACAATTAACCGAACACAAAAAAATTTTTGAGTCTTAGTACTTAGGTTGAAAACAAGAATGGTGGTGGGAGGTAACCCTCAACATCTCTCCTTCAAGCACGTCCACTCCAAAAGAATTATCTCCCTCTCTTGGGCAGACACTGGCAAGCCACACAGGTAACAAAATCAAAAGTTACCGTAAATATCCTGTTCCTTCAATCCTCCTACCCATCTTTTTCCTGTTCCGGTGAAACCGCAGAAGACCACAGCCACAAGTCATACTAAGCCTAGAGGATAACTCTCATGTCTTGACCTTCATCTGTACTGCTAGCCCCAGTGCCACAGAAAACCACAAATAACAGAGGCACAAGACGCACACAGAAAGAGAACTGGCTCCTGGCCAGCTTTTCTGGCCACCCAGACTCAAACTGAAATTCAGGTCCTTACCTGGAAGTCCCGTTAAACCTGGAAGTAGTAAGCCACTTTCATCGGGAGAGCAGATCTTTACTGAGTTTGCACAAAGGGCGTGAAGCGGGTGCAAGCAGGCATGGGGAGACCAACAGAATTTGGGTCGCCCCCCCCACCCAGCGTGAGAATAAAACAGAAACCCCAGTGAGGTAGGGGACGTGCTAAAGGTGATCCCCTAGTCCCACAGCAGAAGCTCCAGCGCTTCGAGTTTAGCCTGTGAGCAGCCCCTCCCTTGGGCTGCCGTCCTCCAGTCAAGTTGGATTGCTGACGTTCCTGCTCCTCTCCCCGCCCTGCCTCCGATTTCCAAAATAGCCTTGGGTGTCATTTACCAGAGAGATTAAATTTCATGTGGTGGAGAGACGAAGGGCATCGCTTTAGGAAACCCACCGGGGGCAGACCAAAAAGCCCATCTCCAGAGAGCTTGCGTGCAGATGAACCCTCTCCGTGGGGCTGGACCTAGTGCCGTTTTCTCAAGTGCTTTCCCCGGAGCCAAGTGACAGGTGTCAAACTGGGATGTGACGAGGGAGTGTTACAAGCCTGTTGGCAAAAGTTGATTAGGCTTCTTGCCTACGTCAACTTCAGAAGGGGAAGAAAGAGGGGAGGCTGGGGGTGTCGTTCCAAGGGGCATTTCTGCTCCTGGATTTAAATTAAAAATATTATTGACTGAACCTTATTTTTGGACTCCTATAGGCTGTAAGGGACGCGGGTGGCGCTGTGGGTTAAACCACAGAGCCTAGGACTTGCCGATCAGAAGGTCGGCGGTTCGAATCCCCGGGATGGGGTGAGCTCCCAATGCTCGGTCCCTGCTCCTGCCAACCTACCAGTTCAAAAGCACGTCAAAGTGCAAGTAGATAAATAGGTACCGCTCCGGCAGGAAGGTAAACGGCGTTTCTGTGCGCTGCTCTGGTTCGCCAGAAGCGGCTTAGTCATGCTGGCCACATGACCCGGAAGCTGTATGTCGGCTCCCTCGGCCAGTAAAGCAAGATGAGCGCCGCAACCCCAGAGTCGGCCACGACTGGACCTAATGGTCAGGGGTCCCTTTACCTTTAAAGTTGGCCCTTGAAGTAGGGTGTTGCCTCTGCCTGCTTCCTTCCTTGCTCACTTTGTCTTTCATCCATGACATCATGATGCTCCCCACTCAGCAAAGCCCAACAAAAGGCATGCATTCAGCAAAAAGCAGAACTAATGAGGGGGAATTGCTTGTGCAGATATAATCTGATGTTTTATGCCATACCTGCTGTGCGCTGTTGCTGTGAAGGCCTAGGAATCCAGCTGGGAGAAACTTGCATGCTACTTTGTGATGCTTCTCTTGGTCCTAATAAAGCTATTGTTTTGCTGTTCTCTTATGGGATTTTCCTGCACAGAACCACTTCCATTACATGAATGGCAGGCAGAACAGAGCTCTTGACTCCATCAGAAACATGCTTCTCCTTCCAATACTGTCAATCACTGGAGCAACCACCTGTTTTCTTCACATGGATATACAGGGAGCCCAAAAGCTTTAATGGAAGCAAGTCAGGGGTTTTTTGGATACTTTGACCTTCGCTTTCCAGCTAGGCCTTCCGACACTCTTCTCTATTGCAAGGGAGAAAGAGATATGCCAAAGAAGTGTGCTGCTTTATTGCACTAATGAAACGCAGTAGCTTAAGCATACTGCTTCCACATTAAAAAAAAAAATCACTTGCTGAAACAAAGGGAAGGAAATCCAAGAGCAACACAGCCTGTGGTCTTTTGTTGTTGCTCAAAGTGCCAGTGGCCCAGGCTCTTAGAAGATACTGGGACACACACAGTTACTGGATTAGAGCTCGTCTCTGCTGGATCATTTCGTTGTCCCCGAGAGGGGGCAATGACAATAAAGATATTATATTATTATTATTATTATTATTATTATTATTATTATTATTATTATCAGAGAAAGGTCTATCTCTCTGTGTTTCTTGTTTCCAACAGTTTGCTGCCAGATAGAAGTTTCTGGGATGTACGCAGAAGGGCATGGAGGAGAAAAGACCTTGCCCACGGGATCAGTGGCGAAGGAAACTGCTGGGGCACCTGGAGCAGCAAATATGAGGCGCACCCAGGGGTGGGGCGATCTGCCCACAGAGGCGGGGCAATCCTCCTAGGACCGCCAGCACCGCTCGCCGATCGTGCAAATGTGCCCAGGGCATGGCGCTGGCTGCCAGGGATGCAAGCGCCACCCGCCAGGTGGGTGCAAACACCACTCGCTGGGGGGGGTGCATCCCTGGTGGCCAGTGCCATGCCCTGGGCATATTTGCACGATCGGCGAGCGGTGCTGGCACCCCCGGGAGGATTGGCGTGCCGCCGATGGCACCCCAGGAGGATTGGCCCTCCTCTGTGGGTGAATCGCCCCACCCCTGGGTGCGCCTCATATTTGCCACTCCGGGTGCCCCAGCAACTTCCTCCACCACTGATCCCATGGGCAAGGGCTTTTCTCCTCCATGCACCTTCAAGAGGATGGCGCGCCAAGGATGCGAGCGCTGCCTGCCTGGGGGTGTGAATGCTGCCCGCTGGGGGGGCATCCCCAGTGGCCAGCGCTGCATGCCAATCAGTGGACGGATTTTCACTATGATCACGAAAATCCGTCTGCAGGGGGGTGTGAGCGCCACCATGCCAATCCGCCCAGGGGAATTTTGTCACACACAACCCAAGCATGGCACCCAGGGCGGACCGCTTCCCCTGCCTCCTTCGTCTGCCAGTGCACGGGATGTCTCACCAGCAACAGGAATGTACTTCCTTTTATGCCTCTTGCATCTTCCAACTTTCAGCTTCATGTCTGCAGTTCCAGAAGTACAATGCCCTTGAACCTGTCAAGGTCAGCTGAATTGCCCCTTTGCATGTCACACAGATGGCACAAGGATTAACATTCGGGCGGAGAAGATGCAACCAGCTTTTACCACCTCTAGAGAATAGAAGACTCTTGGAGAAGATATGGAGACTCTTGAGAGTCCCATGGACTGCAAGAAGATCAAACCTATCCATTCTGAAGGAAATCAGCCCTGAGTGCTCACTGGAAGGACAAATCCTGAAGCTGAGGCTCCAAGACTTTGGCCACCTCATGAGTAGAGAAGACTCCCTGGACTTTCCCAATGTTGGGAAAGATGGAGGGCACAAGGAGAAGGGGACGACAGAGGTCGAGATGGTTGGACAGTGTTCTCGAAGCTACCAGCATGAGTTCGACCAAACTGCGGGAGGCAGTGGAAGACAGGAGTGCCTGGCCCATAGGGTCATGAAAAGTCCGACACAACTAAACGACTTAGCAACAACAGAATAGAAGACTGGAAGAGAATACATTCGATTGTCTTTCAGTGTTTGCCTTCCCTCATCCGTCATTGAGTTTGTATGGCATGTGTACCCCTGGAGGCTTCCAACGCCAACTGGAGCAGCAGGCAAGGAGAAGAATTCTTCCGTCTATGACCTGGTAACCTCCATGTTCGATTACTGCAACGTGTTATATGTAGGACTCCCTCTGCAGATGGTTTGGAAACTCCAACTGGTGCAGAATTCAGCAGCTGGCAAGACGGTTTGAGCATATTACATTGATCCTGGTTCAACTGCACTGTCTGTCAATTAGTTTCTGGGACCAATTCAAAATGCTAGTTTTGCCCTATAAAGCCCTAAATGGCTCAGGACCACAATACTTCAAGGACCACTTCTCCCCATATGAACCGACCTGGACCCTGCAGTCATAAACTGAGGACCTTCTTTGTGTGCCCCCTCTGTGGGAAACAGGATGACAGGCCTTTTCTGCAGTGGCTCCCCATTTGTGGAATGCTCTCCCTGTGGATGCTCACCTGGCGCCTTCATTACTGTCAGGGAACTGCCATCAGTGCCGGAGGGAGAGAGCGAGCTCCAGAGTGATCCCAGAGAGCGTCCCGGGATTGGGAGAGGCAGCCCATCTTCTGGGGAAGGGAATCAGCTCAGCTCCAGTGGAGAAGGGGGGCAGATGGGGGAATCTGAGAGGGAGTCACATGACTCCTTGCCGGGGACCAGCGGGGGGAGGAAGGGTCCTCCGCTGCCTACGCCCTCCTTGCGCAGAAGGCTTCCACGCAGGGAGAGTAGGAGGAGACTGGGCGTCAAAGAACTTCTTTGCTGGAAGAAGTTTAAGAAACGCCCACTGACGGATTCTGCCACCGATTGAGACAGCCACGGGTGAGTGGCTGTCCAGACAGAAAAGGTTCACTTAGGCAACCCAGCCAGGTGTGGGCACCGGCTTACGCACGAGCAACCCCTGGAACCATTCCAATTACACATCTTTAGGCGCCAGGAGAAAACAGTTCTCTTCGACCAGGCATTTGGCTGATGAACATTCTACGGATTTAAAAACGTGTTTGTGGGAACAGGGTTGTTTTTGCTTTATTCTGTATTCTCATTTTTTATGTTTCTTTTGTGAACCAAACTGGGATGAAGGGCAGTATGCAAAATTGATTAACTGATTAATAATTATGGGTCTGGTACGCAAACCTTCCCTGCTGTAAAGGACTAGCCTTGTCAAACACCTGCAATGACTTCATAAAGGCCAAGGGCAATATGCCAGGTTTCTGCTCCTTAGCCCAGGATGAATGCATAGCTGGAAGCCAAACATTTAAATGCTGCTGCCTTCCAGACTTGCTGCCTCCAGCGGTATAGAACACAGAGGTCATGTTTCCAAAAGCTGGCAAAACAAAGTTCTGCTTTATTCCACTGAGTAGGCATGGGAACTTGTGCTGCCTCTAAAGGCAGGTAAGCAAGTCATATCGGGAGCCACAGACATATTATTATTATTAATACCCCACCCATCTGGCTGGGTTTCCCCAGCCACTCTGGGCGGCTTCCAACAAAAGATTAAAATACAATTCAATGGTGCCCTGCAAGACGAATGCCTCGCAAGACGAAAAACCCGCAAGACGAAAGGGTTTTCCATTGCGGAGGCGCTTCGCAAGACGAAGTTCCCTATGGGCTTGCTTCGCAAGACGAAAACGTCTTGCGAGTCTCGCCATTTCCCCCCCGCTTTCCCCCCCTTTTTCAAAGCCACTAAGCCGTTAATAGGCTTTTAACAGCTTAGCCGCTAAGCCCGCTAAGCCGCTAATAGCGCTAATCCGCTTAGCCGCCAATGGGGTTGCTTCGCAAGACGAAAAAACTGCTAGACGAAAAGAATCGCGGAACGGATTCTTTTCGTCTTGCGAGGCACCACTGTAATTCATCAAATATTA